AAGTTAGTTGCTGTGGGGGAATTTAGGGAGCTTCTCAACTGCTGGTATTGATGAACCTTTAGAGCTGTCTGGAGCAGAACCGTAGAAGGCTGCTTCTGTAGGGATCTGCTTGAAGCAAGTGTAGACGAACTTTTAGAACCTTTTTGTTGGTACAGAGTTGGTTTGGAACTCCGGAGCTGCTCAAAGATTGGTTACAACTGATGATATCATCTTTCCAAGATTTCAATGTTAGATTTAAGGCGCAGTTTTAACCTTGATCCGATACGTAAAAATACACAGTGTTCACAGGATGTTCACAAAAAATACAAACATATAAATACATTTTAACTATTCATAAAAGCACAAATATCAATTCTTAAATAATCTGTTACATTTGTTTGTGAATTTTACAAAAAAAGGAGTTTAGTTTATGTAAACACCCAACAGAGTTCCCATATACAGAGCTAATTGATTCTTTGTTAAAAATACGTACTTTGAACTCCGTTACAATCTCTCCCCCCCCCCTCAAAACAATTTTTATGAAAAGAATCAGAAAAAAAATATTTGAAAATTTTGAAGCTGGGAAGAATAGAAGGCAAAGTTTAAAAAACTTGTAAAGCTTAATTTAATTTTATCCTCTTATTTTGTTGTCATGGCCTAATTATATTAGCCGATTCCTATCTTCAGGAACCAACAAGTTTTATTTAAGAGTTTATATCCCAACAGAACAATTGTCTGAATTTTTGGAAACCCACTTTCTTTTGCCAAACAAATTTCAAACCATAATCCTGCTTTGCTGTCTGTTAACAGTTGTTTTTGCACAATTGTAAAATAACAATCTTTAGAGATAACATTGCAGTATACATAATAATTAAGGGGTGCCACCCATGTATACAAGTTGGATTTTGTTCCAATAAGCATGAACATACCAAGAAAGAAATGAGTATTTCTCCACCCCCCTTCAACCATATTGAAGGAAGTGAAAAAACTCCTAAATAAACTCTAAAATTGATATTTCGAATGTGCTCATTTCAATTATAATTAGACGGGTGTGACAGCAGGTGGAATCTCTGGTATGTAACGATGGAGCAGGATAACGGGAACAAGAACTCAAACTTGAAGTTGAACAGAAACTGAATCAGTAGCACAGTATCTGTCTGCACGCAAAGCTGAATGCTTTAATAGTTTTGTTAAATCTTCCACAGGTTCAAAAAGATCTGCAGGTCAGGGGTATAACAAGAGTTAAACAGGCGGTAGGCAAACAGGCTTAAACAACGATAGGTAACTGGGAACAGGCTCGCACCCCACCATTTGTTAAACCTTTAGAGCTTTCTGTAGCAGAACTGTAGAAGGCTGCTTCTTTCCCAGCATATCCTGGTTTTCAAGTACCCCAGCAGAGATAGGGTTAAAAAGGAATTAGTCTCTATATATTTTCACAATGACAGATAAGATGGACCCAAAAATGTATCTATAAGTAGAAAAAAAATGTTAGGAAAAGGTCCTAATTTTCCATTTTAAAGATTAGTTTTCGGTCACTTTATTGATAAAATCATTATTATATAGAGTATAGAGTTATGACCGTCGTGTTTGTAGTTCACATTTCCGCCACTAGGTGTCACATCTTTGAACCAGATAATTCTTAAGCGGTTCTTAAGTTTTTAATTTAATAACTATAATTAGCAAGATTTTTTCATAATAGATATTCTTTATATATCATTATTTTACACATTATCAAAACTATTCAAAAAGAAATATAATTTCACAATGATATTTACATTTGTTTATTACTTAAATTGTAGAGGTCTTTGTTAAACAATTATTAATTTCGGATTTTTTGAAAGTTTTATAATTTTATCTATTTATAGAATTCCTATCATTGTTACAGGAATCACTAGATTTAGATACTTTACTTGTTGGCTCGTAATCTAATCATTTAAATTACTTAATTCAAGATGCAATTTTTCACAATAAATGAAATGGTTGAGTGATTGTAATCGAGTAGGTCATGAATCATGCACATTAGTTTCAGAAAATCTAGAATTTCATTTAGTAAAGGTACTCTTATGGTACTATTGTACTCGTAGGAAATAGATATGTTTATTAGGCAGACGCCCAAGGAAATTGCATGCGACGCAATGAAAGAGAGCATGTTCTAGCCTTGGCGCTCGGCCCCCTAGACTGTCCTAGCTGCAGCGCAGAATACGAACACGACATTACATCAATACTGAAATGTATTTGATTTTCCAAAGCAAAGAGCTTTTAAGTGACTTCTTAATCACATATTCAGTGACATGGGTCTGTTTACAGACACTATTTATAGTCAGATTCGTCATATCTTGAGTCTTTTCATTGTAGCTCAATTAAAAATAAATTTTATGAGTTAAAATAATTTTTTGAAAGAAATGATTTGCAAAAAGTCTTTAATATCTAATACAGAATGTGGAAAAAGACTATTCACCAACTGTTATGTTTTGTGGGACACCCTGTACGTCAAAACAAGTTCCCAATTTTTTTCTGGCATATCAAATGACCCCAGAGAAGATTTATGGACCATTAAAATTTAGAAAAATGTTGACATTTATCATTTCAGAAGACTAGGAAAGAATGGGAGCAATTTTCCTTTGTGTCTACATATGTTAAGTAGTAATCTCTGTTTGTTTGTATGTTTGTTTGTCCAATCATAACTCATGAACCCCTTGACAGATTTGCTTCAAATGCTTCAATGCTTTTAGCTTTGTTTTAAGATTCGAAATGAGCCCATACATTTCTAAATTTAAGTAATATTGAAATCACCTGGCTCTGGTTAGTTGCAGAACTGTATGTGACAAGAAATAGAAGCTATACCAAGATATATATGTATATAGTTACTTGACCTGTATACTGATATTATATAAAAACACAACCAATGACATTTATATTACGCAAAATCGTAAACCTGAGATACTTATTGGCACTTCTGTCTGTATTGGGCCCAAATTTTGTGTGGGACCTCCCATGACACTAGGAAAGGTTTATTTGAAAACCTGCCCCCTTCCTAGACGGGCTCTCTTAGGCCCCATCCCAAAGAATGGTTAACTGGGAGGGGGGGAGGGGCTGGAACCCTGTGGAAGCACTAAAAATGCCCCTGTCAGGGGTGTAGTCAAGAATATGTCCAGGGCGGGGCTCAACAGCTGTTGGGGCCTGAAAAACCCTGTTATCCATGGATTTCACAGGTCCAGGTCCCTGACTACGCCTCTGCCCCTAGCATGTTAAACACATATACATTCTTTATTATCACTTCACAAATTGTCAATTTTATGATCTTTTCTCAAATTCCTTCAATTAGACCACATTAATAGCTTATCTACATTTTTTTTCGCAGGGTTTCAATATGATCAGAATAAGATGTTTGACCCAGAGATAAGGAACGTATTACTTTACAGGGTGTCCCAATAGACATGGGAATTAAGCAATGACTTCTATATCTTTTTTTTCGCGTGGTTTTATTACGTGAACACAGTTTGTATTGTATTACAGATAAAACAATTAACAATTAAAAAATATAACTAATATAATCTTGGAAATTGTGGTTTACCATATTTGCACCCCCTTAATTCTGTCCAATTCTGATTTAAAAAGTAATAACGAAATTTTTCAAATGTTTAATAAATATTTATATGCGCAGACGACAATATATTGCTTCGTCCTAGTAGAAACGGTTTACAAAATATGGTGAAGATATGTGAACAATTTGCAAACTTATTTTCAATGAAATTTAGTACTAACAATGTAGTTGAAAAGTCTAAGGCTAAGTGTATAATCTTTACAAAATATCCAATCGATACTGTAAACATTTTGCCCATTTATCTTAATGATGTACCATTACCATATGTTGATCATGTAAAACATCTTGGATGCACGCTACAAACAGATAATTCATTTACTCGTGATATAAATCAGAAACGTGGACAGTTTATTGCTAAAATTCATTCCCTGAATCAAGAATTTTACTTTGCAGATTCAACAGTTTTGATTAAATTATATAACCTTTATGCAACGAGTATATATGGATCCAATTTATGGAATTTATTTTCGAATGATGTGTTCAGAATTTATTTGTCTTGGAACACTGCAGTTAGAATTGTGTTTAAATTACCAAACACTTGTCATAGATATTTTATCGAACCATTGTCACAGTCATCTCATTTAATGACCATGTTCTGCAGTAGATTTGTTTCATTCATTTCTTCATTAGAAAATTCGTCAAAAATTTGTATCAGACTTTTGATAAATCTTTTAAAATTTGATCAAAGGTCAGTAACTGCAAAAAATCTGAGAAATATTGCAGACAAATGCAAGAAAGATTTGAATATTATCGACAAAAAATTGTATGATATTTCAAGAAATACCCTTGGAAGAAGAATGGAGGATTCCATTTTTAAATGAATTAATTTCTGCAAAAAACAATAAGATTGTTATCAATGGAGTTGACCAAGCTGAGATTGACGATATTATTAATTTTATATGCACGACCTAATTACAGTATGATTTTGTTTCTTGTATTTGTATTCATTTTTGATATATTCTCTTATAGCTCTTTTTTCTTCTGTTTAATTGTACCAATTATTTAAATTGTGTACGTTTACGAAAAATAAATTTCCGCCGATTTTGAAGAACTAGGAAAGCAGACCACATAAGCTCAAAATACTTTCAGTCTTGATTTTGTGACAAGCTTTGGCATTTATCAACCAACAGAAATCGAAGACCGGTTTTAAGTCGTCTTATAATTCCCATGTTTAAGGAAAATTTTATTCCCAAAGTAAAACACCATTCATGAAAAAAGGTTGTCTTTATTAGTCATGTTAAACAAAATAAAATATTTAATAATGAAAACAAAGGTTATTGTCCTAATAAAAACATGTTATTTTTTTTTTAAATTTCGCTCTCAATTTATCCATTAAGTAAGAAATGTGAAGGTTTCTTGGTGCCTAATGGCTTAGGTGGCTTTGTGCCTAATTTTGAAAATGTTGAGTCAGCTCCTGTAGACAAGGACGTCGTAGTCAATTCTGGTGAAAGTGCACTTGATTCTGTTCCTTCAAAGTAAAATTCTTCAACTTTATGAAGTTGAGGTGGCTTGGTGCCCAATGATGGTGGTGGCTTAGTGCCAAATGGTTGAGTTGTTGCGCCTATTTTGGTTAGGAGAATTGAAGTTGTTTTAAACTCTGTTGACGATGAAACTGCTTTTTGATAAAACCATTTAACCTCATATCCTGGAGGTGGTTTTGTGCCCAGTACAGGTGGTGGCTTGGTACCAAATGAGAAAGGTGTTGTGTCTAACCGATTAAAGTAAAATTCTTTGACTTTATACTGTTTGGGAGGCTTGGTGCCAAATGGTTGTGGAGGCTTTGTGCCAAATTTTGAAAATGAAATCATATCAGAATTAGATTTAGGTGAAGCTGTGGTTGGAGGTAAAGGTCCTGTAGTCAATGAAGATGTGGTGCCAGACTCTTCTGGAAATAGAGGCATGGTTGAGTAAGATTCTAAAGGAGCTAGAGGCATGGTTGAGTCAGATTCTGATGGAAATAAAGGCATGGTTGAGTCAGATTCTGATGGAGCTAGGGGCATGGTTGAGTCAGATTCTGATGGAAATAAAGGCATGGTTGAGTCAAATTCTGAAAGAGCTAGAGGCATGGTTGAGTCAAACTCTGATGGAAATAAAGGCATGGAGGAGTCAGATTCTGAAGGAGCTAGAGGCATGGTTGAGTCAAATTCTGATGGAAATAAAGGCAGGGTTGAGTCAGATTCTGAAGGAGCTAGAGGCATGGTTGAGTCAAATTCTGATGGAAATAAAGGCATGGTTGAGTCAGATTCTGAAGGAGCTAGAGGCATGGTTGAGTCAAGTTCTGATGGAAGTAAAGGCATAATTGAGTCAGATTCTAAAGGAGCTAGAGGCATGGTTGAGTCAAATTCTGATGGAAATAAAGGCATGGTTGAGTCAGATTCTGAAGGAGCTAGAGGCATGGTTGAGTCAAACTCTGATGGAAATAAAGGCATGGTTGAGTCAGATTCTGAAGGAGCTAGAGGCATGGCAGAGTCAAATTCTGATGGAAATAAAGGAATGGCTGAGTCAGATTCTGAAGGAGCTAGAGGCATGGCAGAGTCAAATTCTGATGGAAATAAAGGCATGGTTGAGTCAGATTCTGAAGGAGCTAGAGGCATGGTTGAGTCAAACTCTGATGGAAATAAAGGCATGGTTGAGTCAGATTCTGAAGGAGCTGGAGGCAGGGTTGAGTCAAACTCTGATGGAAATAAAGGCATGGTTGAGTCAGATTCTGAAGGAGCTAGAAGCATGGTTGAGTCAAATTCTGATGGAAATAAAGGCATGGTGGAGTCAGATTCTGATGGAAATAAAGGCATGGTTGAGTCAAATTCTGATGGAAATAAAGGCATGGTTGAGTCAGATTCTGAAGGAGCTGGAGGCAGGGTTGAGTCAAACTCTGATGGAAATAAAGGCATGGTTGAGTCAGATTCTGAAGGAGCTAGAGGCAAGGTTGAGTTCAAATCTGAAATTAAAATTATCATTACATGTAAATTTAAGAATTTATTTTGTTCTAATCAGCTAGAATAAATCTCTTTACCTGTGGTAGCTTCTAATATGGAAAAGATGCTTTTCAGAGTAAACAATTTCAGTATCAAATTCATAATTGCAGAAAAAGATATTTCAGTTCATCTGTTAAAATCTGAAAAAGACTGCAGATAAATTTCATGACTAAAATCTATGCATTTATGTTTCAATAAATTTTATAAATATGTCTAATATGTATATCTCAATTATTTATTATAGAAAATGCCAATGCAGTGTTGTTGAGTTTGATCATGAAGAGAGAGTTGTATCAGATCCAGTAGACAATAAAGATGTATTTGAGTCAGATCCTGTAGACAAATGGAGGTGTATTTGAGTCAGATCCTGTAGACAATGAAGGTGTATTTTAGTCGGATCCTGTAAACAATGAAGGTGTAGTTGAGTCAGATCCAGTAGACAATGAAGGTGTATTTGAGTTAGATCCAGTAGACAATGAAGGTGTATTTGAGTCAGATCTAGTAGACAATGAAGGTGGAGTTGAGACACATCCAGTAGACAATGAAGGTGTATTTGAGTCAGATCCAGTAGACAATGAAGGTGGATTTGAGACACATCCAGTAGACAATGAAGGTGGAGTTGAGTAAGATTCATTAGTCAATGAAGATGTATTTGAGTCAGATCCAGTAGACAATGAAGATGTAGTACAGACAGATCCAGTAGACAATGAAGATGTAGTTGAAGCTGAAGTAGGTAGTGAAGGCCCATTATTAGGTGCTCAAAAAAGGCTTGAAGTTGTAATTAAGTCAGATCCAGTAGACAATGAAAGTGTAGTTGAGTCAGCTTCAGTAGACAATGAAGGTGTAGTTGAGTCAGATCCAGTAGACAATGAAGATGTAGTTGAGTCAGATCCAGTAGACAATGAAGATGTAGTACAGACAGATCCAGTAGACAATGAAGATGTATTTGAGTCTGATCCAGTAGACAATGAAGATGTAGTTGAGTGAGCTCCAGTAGACAATGAAGATGTAGTTGAGTCAGATCCAGTGGACAATGAAAATGTAGTTGAGTAAGATCCAGTAGTCATTATAGATGTAGTTTAGTCAGATCCATTAGACAATGAAGGTGTAGTTGAGTCAGATCCAGTAGACAATCAAGGTGCAGTAGCAAGGCCATATTTAAAGTAAGAACTTTTAAATTCATATTCAGGTTGCTTTGTGACTACTCGTAATGTAACCGTAGTTGTAGTAGTTGTAGTAGTTGTAGTAAAAGTCGTAGTAACAGGATCTGAAAACAAAAGTGTTGTTAAAGGTTATTCAGACTTCAATCGTAGATTAGGTTTTAGAAAAAGATCCCTGTTTGAATTATAATTATAATTCAATTATCATATTAATAGATAACAAATTATCAATATGATAAATTATCCAAAATCTTGCGGGGGTAAATTTCGGCACAAAAACGCATTAGCAAAATTAAAAACCTAAAGTTTACAAACTGTTCTTAATTGTTTTTACTTGTTTTTAACAAAAATATAAATGTTTTAAATATATATTAAAGCAATATATTCATTGCCCTGCATAACATGATGAATTCATATTAAAATTCCTCTAATTAACTTTGCTCTCTATACCTTGGTAAGGTGTATGGGATGACGTGGTGGAATCTATCCCCCAGCTGTTCAGAATTATCAATAACAGCAAAATATTCATGATTGCTGAAAAAGGTTTTGTTGTGAGTCCAGCAAAATTATCTGAATTTGGAGAATGATAAAAATGAAACATTGAAAGTTGGAATATTTCAAAGATCAACATTGATTAATTTTATATTTTTGATTTATTCGGTATTTTTCTCTGTTTATTCAAGTCCCCGGAGCTGAAAACTTTAGAATGGTGGATATCGAGATTAATGCTTGATCCTCTGTTTTTCTTAATATCTAGACTAACCTAATCTTGTGTTTGTATCCTGAAATTGTATAAAATTCAACCAACCAGAGTCGCGTATATTAAGCCGATAGATTTGAAATTTTGCGCGCCATTTTAAGATTATATACAGAAACGGGAGGGAATCTCTAAATTTAAAAAAAAACCGGTTTTTGATTTTTCTCTACTATATCTACTACTATACTATCTATACTATCTATACTATCGGGATTAAGGATATCTCATTCTCAAGTGTTCAGCTAGGAGAACATTATTCCCCCAAAAAAGTTTGACGGAAACATTTTGTTTACTCAAAATAAAAATATTTTCAATTCTAAAATATTTCCTTTCTTCACATTTTATAAAAAGTGAAAAGTGGAAACTCATTTTTTTTCTAAAAAGCTGAAATAGATATATAACTTGTTTTCCCCAAAGAGGAAACCCTGGTAAACAGAAAAGGGAGAGTATGAACACAAAAAGTGATGGCTCTTCAGTAATTAGTGATGAAACCTGTTTTTTTTCATTCTGTTTCATGTAATTGTATATTTTGCGGCTTAATTCTAGTGATAGAGAGTAGGTTTCGGCTTCATTTAAAAACGGTTTAAACTATAAAATATTAAACGTGTATTTTGTCTGTTGGTTCGAAAAAGCCCAGAATTCTGTTTATTATGTAATTTGGTCAAGATATAACAGCGCAATGAGGAAAAATAACCTCAGACGTTGATATAGAGGTTTAGGCTTTCTTTCTTTAAAAATATCATGGTTACACAAAACATTGATATTGCCTGTCCATTCTACATTGTGGTAATAAGAAATTATCATAAATGATATTTTCTACAAAAAAATTACAACATTTTTGCCCGAAAGTGAAATCTAATTATTATCTAATAATTATTACGATTATGCATGAACATTTCCAGGTGAGGGATGGGGGAAAAAATTGAGAAAATGTCTTTCCCCCTCCCCCTGGATTTTTATGAATCTATATTGGTCAATTTTTTAGATTATTGTCAAATTCCAGAAAATGTGGCGATTGATTATAATAGTTAGGATGATATGGTATATGATTTGGTGGCTACTCCAATTTTTTACTGTTTCTAGAATTAAACTAAACTTTTAGTAAATTGTGGTTTCGCAGGCAAAATAAATATAACTCATTCTTAAAAATTGAATGAAAGACAATAGAAACTGTAGAAACTGTAGAAACTGAAGAAATTGTAGAAACTGTAGAAACTGTAGAAACATTAGAAACTGTAGAACCTGTAGAAACTGTAGAAACTGTAGAAACTGTAGAAAGTGTAGAAACTGTAGACACTGTAGAAACTGTAGAAACTTTAGAAACTGTAGAAACTGTAGAAACTGAAGAAACTGTAGAAACTGTAGAAACTGTAGAAACTGTAGAAACTGTAAAAACTGTAGAACCAGTAGAACCTGCAAAAACTGTAGAAACTGTAGAAACTGTAGAAACTGTAGAAACTGATTAGAAACTGTAGAACCTGTAGAAACTGTAGAAACTGTAGAAACTGTAGAAACTGTAGAAACTGTAGAAACTGTAGAAACTGTAGAAACTGTAGAAACTGTAGAAACTGTAGAAACTGTAGAAACTGTATTGAAACTGTATAGAACATGTAGAAACTGTAGAAACTGTAACCCTCTCCCTAACTACTCCCCCCTACACACTAAAGCCACCTCTGCAGTATACTTTTTTATTATTTTAGACTACAAAATAATGGTATAATTGGTATATATGTAATAAATACTATAGCAAAGCCTATTATAGTTACACCTAAATAAATCACATGATACATTGTCTGTAAATCTAAATGCGCCTGTAAATAGTTACGCAGAACTTATTCTATATTGTGCTTAGCCTTGTTTATAAAAAAGCAAAACTTGTAATTACGTTTATCAACTTAACCTGTATAACATAGATATCAAAATAAACGTCAGTTGCAATAGTACTCTGCTTTGATTACAGTGTGAGAGTAATTACTTATTGGTTAGTGAATGAGAAACGTCCTGAATCACTCACTTGAAAGATAAAACTAAATTGGGAATCCATACAGATAAAGTCATGTCCGGATTTACATTGATAGTAAAGTATTACTAAACTGAATTGCTCTTCTGCATCATCAGTTAGCAAATAAGAAGCATCCTCAATCACTCTCTTGAAAGATAAAACTAGATTGGGAATCCATACAGATAAAGTCATGTCCGGATTTACATTGATAGTAAAGTATTGGAGAAACTGTTAGTTCCTGAATGAGTTGTACCTGGATTGATATGGGTTTGAAAGACTTCTATGGAGTAGGGCATTTACAACATATATATAACAAAACGATTTTATAATAATTTTCATTTTATAGATTGATTTGACAATATAATCGTCCTTAATGGGATTTTCCAGACGACTAACATGGGGAAAGCAAAAAAAAAGAAAATGATTTCTTGCCTCAAACTCTTTTTTTTAATACTTAATATCTTTGCAACCTTAACTCAAATTACACAGAGTTTTTGCCACAAACTCAGATTTTCTAAATCATATATTAAACTGTCTGCCACATAGTACATTCTTAGGATATTCAGTACATAAATCCTTGTACATTTAAAATTCAGTGATGGTGATGGACCAAACCTCTGTAGAGTAAAAAAGTAGATGTTAGTTCCACATTTATTGAAAATATATTTCGGTTTGGGTTGACCCTCGTCAGTTCTAGCGATATAATAACCATCAAAATCGATAACAAAAATAAAAAAAATGTAAAAATCACAAGAAGATAAACAAACAAAAAGATTATTCTAAATAAAAATTTGGGCTGTCAAATGGACATAAGGGAAAAGAACTCAGATTATGAGATGGAAAAAAGATAATTTGCAAATATTCACTTTCTAAAAAAATGTTCTAAGACAATTATTATTCCTTGAGATTGTTTCTTCACAAAGAATAATAGCAAACTGTGTAGATGTGTGAATAAAGAGTTGGGGTGGGGGTCGATCTAATTAATGAACTTTTGCTTGAGTCGGGGGAGGGGGAACGGCTAGTTTAAGGAGGGGTTTTTAAAACCTTTTAAAGAATTGGACATAAAAAACTCTTTTTTTTTAAAACATACTGAATTACAGTTTACAATTAAATAAAACTATTTTTTTTCTGTTCATTCCTCTGAGTTCAGTCATAAAATCTCTGATGTATAAGTCTGGTTACATTCTTAGGATATTCAGTCCATAAATCCGGGTAAATTTTTATTTAGGATATTCAGCACATAAATCCTGGTACATTCTTAGGATATTCAGTACATAAATCTGGGTACATTCTTAGGATATTCAGCACATAAGTCTGGGTACATTCTTAGGATATTCAGCACATAAATCCTGGTACATTCTTAGGATATTCAGTACATAAATCTGGGTACATTCTTAGGATATTCAGCACATAAATCCTTGTACTTTCTTAGGATATTCAGCACATAAATCCTGGTAAATTTTTAGGATATTCAGTACATAAATCCGGGTAAATTTTTAGGATATTCAGCACATAAATCCTGGTACATTCTTAGGATATTCAGTACATTAATCCGGGTACATTCTTAGGATATTCAGCACATAAATCCTTGTACTTTCTTAGGATATTCAGCACATAAGTCTGGGTACATTCTTAGGATATTCAGTCCATAAATCCGGGTAAATTTTTAGGATATTCAGCACATAAATCCTGGTACTTTCTTAGGATATTCAGTACATAAATCCGGGTGCATTCTTAGGATATTCAGTACATAAATCAGAGTACATTCTTAGGATATTCAGTGCATAAATCCGGGTACATTCTTAGGATATTCAGTACATAAATCCGGGTAAATTCTTAGGATATTCAGTACATAAATACGGCTGCAGTCTAAGGATATTTAGTACATAAATCCGGGTACATTCTCAGGATATTCAGTACATAAATCCGGGTACATTCTTAGGATATTTAGTACATAAATCTGGGTACATTCTTAGGATATTAAGTGCAGAAACATTGTTGGGATATTTAGTACACAAAAAGTGTTTACTTTAGTTTCTTGGTTGCGACTATTTCTAGTTTCTTTTAT